TGATAATCTACCTTAACCAAAATCAAAGTAGACTATCACTCACCCACACCAGATGGAAAACTCTACAGACTGTCGGTTATATTGTCGGTTATATATATATATATATTACATATGCTCCTTAGGCGACTCTGCGTTAAGGGAAAAAACTTGAAAAACTTGAAAACAAACAAAAATACTTTGGCCCATGAAAACATTTTCGATGCAAAAAAAAAACAAAAAAAAAACAAAAAAAAAAACAAAAAAAAAACAAAAAAAACAAACAAACCATTTTCGATGCATATTTCAATCCAAGTTGGTGTGCCTGGTAGGAGTGATGTTTCAGGATTGGCAGGCCCAGGAGTCGGTTAATGAATTTAAGCTCAACTGAACTGGTGGGTGCACAGACAAGCGTCAATTTACTGCACCCTGTCGACAAGCAACCAAAAAAAAACAAAAGCAGACGCCATTAGGGCTGTGTTCACCACGTCCTTCGGTTGACCAATGGGTCGGAGATGAGGCGGCTGATCCAACTCATAGGTCGAAGATGGGGTGGCTGGTCCATCTTAATCACAGGTGAACGGGCCTCTCCGCATTACTCACAGTCGCCAACCTTGCGAAACTCAAGGGTTGCCCAAAGGTCCTAACTAAAAGAGTTATTGCAGGCACGGAAGCTGGGCGGGTTTGGTGAGTGCTTGCCAACCCAATTTTCTACGGATTCTGACAGAAACCTGACAGAAAGCTTTTGGTGAGGTAGTGCGCCAGAGGGCCAACTTCTCCTTCTTGCTTCAGAACTCACGTTTCCGTTTTCCGACCCTTAACACCTGTGATGCTCAGGTCTGACCATCCTGATTACGTGTTCCTTCTGGATTCCTCCCCCTTTCCGCCCCCCCCTCCTCAAAAGGGCAATGGCGTTGAGGTAAATTGCAATCTTCTGTCTAATCTGACAGGGTAGCCTTTTCAGCCCAGGGCGGCCTTATTGCCTTCAGGGGAACCTCTTGCAGTGCATATACTTCCTCCAGAGAGTCGCGGGCTGTACCTAGCCCCACAGGGACTACAGTCCGTGGGTGACATTCGGCAGGGGTCAGCCAGTAGCAGACGGCCGAGGGTCATCTGAGTGGCCAGTTACTGTGCCTTCCCAATCACCCCTCCCCCTCCGAACATCAGCAATGCCTGCGGGGGCGTGCTCTAGCAGGACCAACTGGCTATACCTGGGTGACGGGCGCCAAGCATGCCGAGGAAGGTCCATGAGGGCTATGGAAATCGACCCCATGACCGCCTGGATGCCACTTGTGAGCCTTACAAACTGAGCTGGGCGGCGGGATATTTCCGGATTTTTTGGACCATCTCCTCTCTGGTGAAGACAGGCCGTAGGCTTGTTCTGCTTTCTCAGGCCAATAGGTCAACAGGCCAATAGGCCTACTGGCTTGTCACTCGCTACTTCCAGCGGCGGCCCTCGCCCTTCACCCACTCACGAACCGGAGGCCACCGTCTTCCCCCGAACACAACGCACCCCCATTTTGCCTGTATCGGGCCGGAAACATACCTTGTATACGTTCATTTTCAGGCTGCGTTATGTTCGGGGGACGACGGTAAGTGTCGAAGGCGGAGGTTCGGTTGGTGCGCTCGCCCTCGCTGGCGAGGTAGGGGAGCCAGGCGCTGCTGATGTGTACGGACACTGCCTTCAGGATGGCCGGTTCTGACCGCGCGTTTGGAAGCCCTACCTTCCGGTAAACATCACTCTCACTCACTATCAATACGCCAGAGGCGGTCGTCGTCGGTCGTCGTCGGTCTTGAAGCTGTGTGTAGGGCCCTAAAGACGGACTCATCGAAGGATGACGAGTACACATTGAAGCAGGCCGCTCCGACAAACAGCCCGCGCGTCCCTCTCGAGCGAGGACAACTGTCGCGCCTCTTTTTGGTGATTCTCGTGTCTCTGTGTTCAGACACGGAGGGGCGAAGGGGAGGAGGTGAAAGGAGTGAGGGTGGCGGGCGACGCGGTCGGAGGCCGAGAGCTACTAACGACCGGTCGGTCGGAAAGAACTCAGGAGGAGCTTCACGCCGCGTAATTTGCCCCTTTCGTCACCCGGCAGGAACAGTGCTCGGCGGTCTTCATCGTTTGCTGTTCTCCCTCTCCCTCCTCCCCCTCCTCCCCCCTTCGCTCCTTCCCATCCTCCCAGTTTCTTGCATGGAGGGACTGCTACTCCCTACCCATCAGTCGCCCGGCTCGGCGGGCAATCTTGACTCCCGTTCCTCCGTCACGCCACCTCTCCGTCTCCCTCTCCCTTCTGTGTCCACCCTTCTCCCTGCCCAGTGGGGCCCTGGAGTTTTCTAGTCACTGGTCGCTTCTTTTCCATAGTCCTTCCCTGGCAGCATCGTCTCCGTCACGGCTCGCCAGACCCGTCATGCGTCGCAGTGGAAAAGTGATTGTTCCTTCTTCTCCTTTTTCCTCTTCTTTTTCCTCTTCTTTTTCCTCTTCTTTTTCCTTTTCTTTTTCCTCTTCTTTTTCCTCTTTTCCAACCTTTTCTTATTCCTCTTTTTCAACTTTTTCTTCTTCTTAACGTCCCGTATGGTATTATTCTCCTATTGAGCATCGTCCTCCTTTCGCGCCACGGCTGGCCGACCTAATTTTCTGTCCTCACTTAGTATTTTCCTAGCTGGCGTTCTGTTCAGAATAGGAGGGGGGGGGTAAAATACTGAAATTTGAAACCGGCGAGGTGCGCGAGCGATCGGCGGTTCGTTTGGTGTCTGCCTGTCGGCAGCGCAAGCAGGCAGTTCGCTGCTGAGAGGGGTTCTATCGGGACGCGGTGCGTGGGCGGGAGGGATCGTCCACGCGCGCACGTGCGTCTAAGCCGCGTTGGTTTTGTGAGTGCGGGAGGCGGAAGTAATGGCGGAGATGGCGCGCGGGCAAGGTGCTAGAGGAGCAGTCAGGGTGGGCGCAGCGATGCCAGCGGCCGGGCAATCGTCGCGGTCCGGCGGGGCTCGACAAGCGGTCGCGGCAGCAGGAGGGGCCGGCGGGATGGCGGCGGCGGTGGCGGCTGGCGCCGCGGGGCAGCAGCAGCAGCAACGCCCTCATCGCTTCATCTTTGATCTGATCCGCATGCTCGCCTTCTGGTACTTGGCTATGTCGATGTTTGCACCCCGAAAGCCGTCAGATCCCGGCCTGCTGATGCGCAATCTGTTCCAGAAGGGAGAGAAGCTTGACATGTGGGTTTACCTCTCGGAAGACCTAGACTTCAAAGACTTCGCCGACGAATCCTCGCTGGTCTGGCACGAGACAGACATTCCTTACGCTATGTACAACACCGAGAGTCAGAGGCGTTTACAAATCACGTACGCACCATCGGAGTCGGTGAAGAGAAACGGCTCTCTCTACGCACACGTGTTTTTCGCCAAGTCGGGATACCCGGCGGACCCTAGCGATCCGACCTTCGACCCGACCGCCGCGTTCGGACGGACTCAGCCGCTGATCGTCTATCACCCGAAGCCGAAGATTGACAAGCGGAAGAACCTGCTGGGCGGCGATACCGGCGGAGGCGCCTCCGAGGTAGTGAATGGCGAAGAGGAGCGGAAGAAATCGCAACAAGAACAACAGCAAGGGGTTGAGGATGACGAAGGAGAGGACGAGGGGGAAGGAGGAGAGGGAGGGGGAGGACAAAAAGCTCCCGCCAAATGGATCTCGTATTGGAAACCTAATATGACAATCAATCTGGTGGATGATTTTACTACGTACCAGCGCAACTCCATTCCCGCTCAATTGTACGGCTTCATGAATTTCGATCCGAGGACTGGCAATTACTTTCCGACTCTCTTTTTCAACGACTTTTGGATTCTACGCGACAAATTGATTCCCGTGAATGAGACTGTCGACACTCTGACGCTGTCTCTGGAAATCGCGTCCATAGCCAGGTGGAAGTGGGCGCTTCTGGTGCAAGTGGATGAGGGCTTTGCCATGCATGCACGACTGGGCACCACCGTCGACGGCGAATCTGATGAGATCAAGCGTGTGTTCCTCGAAGGCAATCCAATCTTGCTGGGGGTCACGGTGATCGTCTCCCTCCTCCACACGGCTTTCGACTTCTTGGCCTTCAAGAACGACATCGCCTTTTGGAAGGGCAACAAATCCATGGAAGGCCTGTCCGCCAGAACCGTCGTTATTAACTTCGTTTGCCAGGTGATCGTCTTTTTCTATCTGCTTGACAACGAGACCAGCTGGATGATTATCGCGAGTGCAGGGGTCGGTTGTGCTATAGAGTTTTGGAAGATTGGCAAGGCGATGAACGTGAGTGTGGATACGAGCGGCAAGTTCCCTAAGCTTAGGTTTGCAGATCACAACACGTACGTTAAGAGCAAGACGAAGCAATACGACGATGAAGCGATGAAGTACCTGTCGTATGCGTTGTACCCGCTGGTTGTGTGCTATGCCGTGTACGCGTTGATCTACAAGTCTCACAAGAGTTGGTATTCCTGGCTGCTTACCTCTCTCACCGGCTGCGTGTATACCTTCGGATTCATCACTATGTGTCCGCAATTGTTCATCAATTACAAGATGAAGTCAGTCGCGCATTTGCCGTGGCGCCAAATGACGTACAAATTCCTGAACACAATCATCGACGATCTCTTCGCCTTCGTGATCAAAATGCCCATCCTCCATCGATTGAGCGTATTTAGGGACGATGTGATCTTCCTCATCTACCTGTACCAGAGATGGATCTATCCGGTGGACAAGAAGAGAGTGAACGAGTTTGGATTCGGAGGAGAGGAGGAAGGGGAGGGGGAGGGGACGTCGTCTTCGGCTGGCGGCGGCGCTGTAAGCACAGCAGGCGAAGTGGTGGCCCCCAGGGCGGAGGACGTAGCTGGCAAAACAGCGAAAGAGGGAGGAAGGGAGGAGGAGGAGGAAGAGGAGGAGGAGGAGGGAGGGTCGGACTCGTCTTCAACTCTCACGACAAGACGGCGAAGAAGAAAGGACGATGGTGAGCGAGAGAAAGAAGTAACAGAAGCCCAGGGAGGAGGAGGAGAAGAAGGGGGAGGAGGAAATGCGAACGCGCAGCTGCTGCGCAAAAGAGCTGGCGCCAGGAAGGATGACATCGTGGCCAGGGAGAACGAAGAGGAGGAAGCTATGGCTGCAAGGAAGAAGGGAAAGGAAAGCGATGATGAGAGCAGTGAAGAGGAGGACGCTGAACGATATGATCGGACGATGACGAACGTGCAGTCTCGTAAGGGGGGCACACTTTCTGAGAAGAAGAGAAGATGATGATGATGACGGGGGCACAATTTCTGAGAAGAGAAGATGATGATGGTGGGGGCACAATTTCTGAGAAGATGAGAAGGTGATGACGATGATGATGATGATGATTCATCGTTGCTACCAAGGAAAGGAGTTTTGCATTCTGTCACAGATACTCGTTCTTGTTGTAGTTGTTATCGATGATGACGGAGGTTGTAGGACTGATTGTTGTATACGGAGGGAGAGGAAATTGATGATGATGAGGTCGGTTTGCTCTTTCTCGTTTCTAGTACCTTTCAGAGAGAGATAGGTTGTTTCTAGTATACGTGAGGCAGGCTGAGGACGAGGACGAGGGAGAGCCATTGTATTGAGAAAAAAGAGTATTGAGAAAAGAGTGTAGGAGAGATAGTAATGCTTTTTTCATTTCTTTTTATCACTTGTTTCTTGTCCACGTTGGAGTGGACGTGGCGACGTTGGAGTGCAGTGTACATCGTTGTCTTTCGATCTGTCAAGAGAAAAATGTATGGTTACAAATTGGTTAAAATTGAGTGAGGGAAATACCGGGCGGGCAGAGAGGAGAGATGACAGGGGAGGGGAGAGACAGAGAAAGATGGATGCTCTACGGGGAAAAATGACATACGGAGAGATGAAACGGCTACAATTGCCAGCCCTGTCCACTGTCAATCGAGGGAAATTTTTGCTTACACACACACACACACACACACACATCGAGAGAGAGTTGGGCGAGAGAGAGAGAGAGAGAGAGAGAGAGAGAGAGAGAGAGAGAGAGAGAGAATTGTAGGGCTCGATTTAGGTGTGGATGTAATGAGAGGGGAACGTATATGGTTAGCCGCTTTGGAGAAATATGCCGTCCCGGTGGATGAAGCAGATGGTCGAACATCTCCCTCCTTTTGCTGGTGACATGTGCTCCATTCAATAATAACGATTGTCTGAGAATGAATGAGGAACGTGTTAATCGAATCATTTTTCACTGAGATTTGTGCAGTGGTGTCCTCTCCCTGTCTCCTCGTTCTCTGAAGGAAAGACGAAAGTAAAAGGCAGTCAGCAGATACAGGCAAATGTCGGAGTGGGAAATGCTCTCAGCAAATTCAGCAGATATACAGGCGACTACGGTAGGCCCTTAAGTGCATGTGCGACGAGGTCCGAAGTGCATGTGCGACGAGGTCCGAAGTGCATGTGCGACGAGGTCCGAAGTGCATGTGCGACGAGGCCCTAAGTGCATGAAATTTCTCCTTTGTTGGGGGTTGAAGATGACGAACTACGAGGTCCTAAGTGCATGTGCGACGAGGCCCCAAGTGCTTGAAATTTCTCCTTTGTTGAGGGTTGAAGAGTACAGACTATCTTATTGAACCGAATACAACGTCCGGTCATTATAGTTGTATCTGGACTGAAAACTGCCCCAAGTACAGCTATAATGACCGGGCGTTGTATTCGGGTCATGTTGTGTTTTATTTTTTTCTCCCTTTTACTTTGTCTAAGTAAACAGCAGCCAACATGAATTACCTTGTTTGCGAGGCCCTATGCTTGCAGGGGTCCCCTCTATATAGTCTTAGTAGTAGTGGTAGGAAGGTAGTGAAAGGCGAAAAAGAATTTGAGAGAAGAACATTGCGAGATACTACATCCCTATATTGTTTTGGTGAGATCTTACATCCCTATGGCAAAAAATAAATAAAAAGATACAGGGTTGTAGATGTTTGCGAGATCTACGTCCTATATTTTTTTGGTTATTTTTTGAAGTTCGAATGTATTTTTAAAAAATAAAAACCATGCAAGCAAAGAACAAAACCAAAAAAAAAAAAAAAGAAATTGGTGCGTCTTCTTTACGGTCCACTCTCTCTTAGCGCTTAGGGCCGTTTTCACTTACACCTCCCCCCCCCGCCCTTTTTTTCTTTTTTTTTCTTTTCTTTTTCTCTGGGAAAACTAGGGTGCCATCAAGGTTTTCTTTTTTTTTTCTTTTCGAGGTGCCATCAAGGTTTTCAGTTTTGAATGCATTTCAGTCACCGGGTGGGGAATTTTACTCCATGGTGAGGAAAATCGTGAATGTATCCAACCCATGTGTAGGGTGGGTGGGGATGTGTTATAAAAGCGATTTTCATGTATCCAATCCATGTGTAGGGGTGGGTGGGGATGTGTTGTATTCGAGGGATGTTGGATTCGATTTAGAACTGAAAACGTTACCCCTCTTTTTTTTTTTTTTTGGAACTTGCGGCCGGGATCCACTTCAGATTAGGCATTTCCCGTTGTGCCCCAGGTACACACGCATGCACATACCAATCGCAACAGCCCACACAGGCACACGAGCGCGTGTGCCTGTTCTCTCATATGTGCACATGTGCACGGCCTCATATGCACACAGTTCCCCTTCCTCCCGCTGCTGTCCCGTTCCTCCCACACATATTGTTTATTCTTTTTTTTTATCAATCAATTGATCAATTGATCAATCAATCGTTCACTCATCTAGAAATCAATCAATCAATCAATCAATTAACCGATCAAGTAATATTTCCTTTTTTCTTGAATTCGAATCCCCTGCGCCCGCCCCCCAACTCACCCGAAAAGAGAAAAATCATTTTCTTTCATTTTAACCGAATGGGTTGGGACAGGGTTCTGCAGCCATAATCTCCAAGCCAGCCCTCAACGTGGCGGTGGGGAGAGAGAGAGAGAGAGAGAGAGAGAGAGAGAGACGTGGGTGGGGTGTAGTGGGGGGTTGGGGGGTAGTAGGGGGTTGGTTAGCATTTGGGGGGTGGGTCGGGTCAGGGTTGGGGGAAAGGGCGGGGGGTTGAATTTTTTATTTTTTTCCCACTCTAAAGGCACGGGGGTGTTGGGCCATGCGTCCGAACCCCGTGGACCCCAACCGGAGTGGCCCCGTTTTTTATTCAACGGGAATTCAATGGGGAACGGGAATTCAATGGGGGTCTGGGGCATTTAACGGCTTTCAACAGCCGTTAAACTGCACCCCACCACCGATGAAAAGACACTCAGCTGTTGGAATACAGATCTGAGTGGAAAGACAGCAGATGAACTGTTGAAAAACAGACCGGAGTTGAAAGACAGACCTGAGCTTGAATCCGGAGAAAACGCCGGGCCTAACTCAGTTCGAGCGCCGATGAACAGTTGAGATATGGATGGATCTGAGTTGAAACTTGAAAGAGGAGAAAATGCTGGGCCTAATTCCAGTTCGAGTGCCGATGAACTGTTGAAATACAGACCTGAGTTGAAAGAGAGACAAGAGTTCAAATCCCGATGGATCGAGATGAATGGAACCATGTAGTTTTGAATTATCAGGGTCCAATAATATCAAGGGTTGTTTCCCAATAAAAAAAACAAAGAAGAACCTCTCACAGAGCACCACTCAAAAGAAATGCTCACCGGAGCAGCACTCAAAAGACATGCTGACTCTCAATCGAGCAAAAGCAAATCATGCACAGTTGTGTGTGGGTGATGGGTGTTCCTCATCTCAATTGTTGGTAGCATTGTTTTCCGATACCATGGGATTGAGAAAGGGCTATATTAGTATACTTCGTGGACTCTGCATTTTTGCATTTTTGATAGCGTTGTTAGAGCCATGATCCTCGTCTTAAATTTTGATAAATTGATAGTTATTGTCTGATATGTGGGGTTGAGAAAGGGGCCTTTGTCGACTACGCCTCTATATAGAGGGGTTGATATTTAGGCGCCTTGTTGATAGTCTTGTTCTGTGATATGGTGGGGTTGAGAAGGGGGGTACTTGTCAGCTGTGCCTATAGAGGGGTTAACATTTAGGCGCTTTGTTGATACCTTTGGTCTCTGATATGGCATGGTTGAGAAATGGGTATGTCTCAACTGTGCGTGTAGAATGGTTAAGATGGAGGTGTGCCCGTGTCACTCAGAAGTTCGACCGTAGCACAATTAGTGAAAATTCCTTCAGAAGCGGGTGCTTTAGAATATTCTATTATTGTGGCAGCCACTGCATCAGATCCTGCTCCTCTTCAATTTCTTGCTCCTTATGCAGGTTGTGCTATGGGAGAATTTTTGAGAGACGGGTAGTTGTTCACTTTGCCTTCAGAGGGGTTAACATTTGGCAGGGGTTTGAAACACTGGCAATGGTAGAAAGAGTTGCTTTTTCTGAACCTCACTTCCACTGCCATTAGAGAAGCGGCTGTGACGACACTGTTCCTGCCACTGATATTGCGAAAGCTTCGGCCACGATCCGCACGACACAACATTGTTAAACCGCCAGTTCACACAACCCTCAAGTTTACATAATCCGTGATAGGCGAGGAGGAGATGAGGTATGCGAAAGGAAGGGAGAATCGCAAAATAGAAAGCAAAGCCTACGGCTAGTTTCTCATAATCCGCATCTCTTAATCCGAAGTCGTGGAATGACAGGGGTAGTAAATGTCGAGAGGCGGAAGGAAACCATAAGGAGAGTGCGCCCTAAGCGATGGAGGAGGCCGAGGGCACCACAACTACACTTTCCTTATTTTCTCAAAATCTCAAACCTGCAATTTTACTTTGCTGGTCTATGCTGATGAGCGGTGGTGTACAATGGTGGCTATGGATTCGTTTGTTTTTTAATTCAATTTCTCCAGGAAGGGAGAAGGAGGATGTAAATGAAGCATGACATTTGATGATCTTTTATCTTCGGTTTTCGTCTTTTTAAAATGTGATTTATGTGATATTCTGCGTGGGGAAGTTGGATTTATGTTGATTTGTAGTGTTTAATCGCGTAGACGGAAGACTGATGATCAGAAGCAATGACAAAGCATTTGGGTGAAGCACCCAACCTCGGCCTGGAAGGTAAATATCTGAAATAGAAAAACAAATTAAGCATCTGGTCAACTTGAAAAAAAAAAAAAAAAAAAAAGTTGCCTTCCTGCTCGTACAGAACCGAAGCATAGAAGAGTAACTGTCAAATGGTAAAAGAGAAAAAGAAACCAGAAAAAAACAGAAAAACAAAACGTGCATGGTATAGGTGGGCACAAATGGAACGTGCAACTGCCTGCCTTGTGCGAAATGTGTAGAGAGGCTTGGTAGACTTCTTGTTATCTTTCCTATCGTCATTTGTTCGTATGTTCCTTATTCTCACTTTTGAAATAGAGAGGGTAGAAATTACTAGAAGGGGATGGGTGTGTTCTGACCCTTTTGGACTTCCCTAGAATAGAGCATAGAGAGAGAAAAAAAAAAAAAAAAAAGAGTAGTTCTTCACGTAGAACTTATAGAGCGGTGTCCGAGTCGGTGGGGGGTGGGAAGGAGGTTCATTCACCAAAATGCTTCTCGGAATGCACCTCCGTCGTGCATAAGACCAGGCAGTTCATTTGTCCGTGATGTGCAAAAGTTCAGGTACAGTCTGACAAGCTGTGTTGCGAAGGTCGCCCCACCCGGGCAACCCGAGCAGACCTGCACAGGAGGCGACCCGTGAAAGGGGCTCATCTTTTTTTTTTTTTTTTCCCTGGGAAGTGGGGCAATTTTGCGCTCACTGAGATGTGCCCAAATCCAGCCTTATCTTAGAATTTTGTGATCAGTCACCAAAGGGCGTCTATAAGGTATAACCGGGGTTCAAAATGGATCAAAGAGGCTTGAAGGGGCTTAAAGGGATATCTTATTATTTACTATTTAGTATTTTGTTTTCGTTTTTAATTCCGGATTCCATAACGAGTTCCAGGTGACCGTCAGTTAAAAGTTGTTCATGGAGGCATTAGCGGCCAACTTACGATGTAATAGAGATATTAAACGTATCCAAGTCAGCTATATTCCTGAAGAAGCTATACTTGTCTGCTCATTGTTTGCGAACGACCTGTCCTTAATGGTGGACGCCTCTTATGAAAATTTGATAGCAATCAAGAGACTGATGGACATTTTTTTCTCCCTCTCAGACATGAAGATCAATTGGGGGACAAAAACACAAGGTTGGTGGATACATCATCAGGGAGTGAGACCTCCAGAACAACCAACCATCAACTGGTTGATAGCAACAACCTCAATAAGGGTGTTCGGGATCTCACTTTCAGCAGAAGGTAAGCCATCAAGAAACAATGACTGGATATTTGAATCAGCACAAGCCAAATGA